CCCCAAAACCCCAAAACCCCAAAACCCCAAGATATTATTATTCTATAGAGTTTAAGAAAATCAGCTTTACTTGAAATTTATAAATGTTTTTTGAAATTAATAAATTAATTCATCAGAAATGAGAGAGAACATAAGACTCAACACTTCCATAATCTTTAACAATTCCTTCAAGCATTCCTAAGTCTTGCAAGAATTCTTCGACACTTGCTAGTTTCAACATTCTTTCCTTATACTCTCTGAATATTTCATCGCATTCCTAGATGCTCTCCTATAGATTGCCCTTTCCTATCAACTCACTGTTTAGCTTTGAGAAGTATTCATCTTGACTCAGTTTTGACTCAGCAGTGAGCAAACTTAATCTCTTGCCATCCCATCTTTACTTCACTAAGTCTACTAATCTCATTTGAATCAATAATGGTCTTAGTCTGAATAAAGACCTTTGAACAAGCTCGATCTTATTGTCACTAGACAATCTTCTTCGTCTCTGTCCTACAGCCTCTACTGTTTCTTGCATCTCTTAGTCTTACAATTTTGAGATAGTTAGCACCTTTTTGCCTGTTGCAAAATCTGATTGTTAACCTGTAGGCTTAAGAACCTACCCTGTACCTCTGTCATCACGCATGCCTGCAATAGTGCAAAGAATTATGCTTAAGAACTGAGATTTCATTGTTTCCCATTTTGGCATTTATGTGAAGACTAATGCCTAAGTTAATTTGAAAGCAAGCAAATCAAGCTTAATGTTATTGATTTGGTTCATTTGGCTGTCTCCTTCCTATGCGTCATCTTCATCCTGGCAAGAACTCATATCCTCTGAGAATTTCTCCTCTTCCTCAATTTCCTCTACTTTCTTTTCCTCCTCCAGCTTTTGCATGAAATCTTATTTCTTCTTAATTCCTGATTCCAAAAATTCAATTAGTCTCTTTTCCTAAATGTAAGTTACTGTCTTATCATCACTATGATCTTTGTATTGCTCATTATACTTTAGAATATGAGCTATCATTTGAATCATAAATGGAATCAAATGACTATTTTGTTCTGGTCCACCACCTTATGAATCTCTAGAGAATGAGTCCTCATAGGCAAGTCTCTTTAGCAGTATCTTAAAATCATGAAGGACTACTTTAACTTTGTCTGAATCACATTATCCTACGGTCTTTGTGAGCAAGTTAAAGTATTTCTCGACCATAGAATAGTAAGAGTCTTCTGGTAGGTTACCTCCTCTAAGAGGGAATAGATTATTACACTTGGTATGATCATTTCTAATAGCTGCACCTTCCCATTCCTTCTTTGGTTGCTTCAACGATGCATCTGCTCTGTATGCGTTTTGATGGCAAGTGAAATGAATATAATTGGAATGTGTCACTGTAATGTAGCCTTGGGTGTTTATGAATCCTTAGTTACTTTCCGATATTTCAGTGATTTTCACTTTTTTACTGAACACATACATGCCTAGAATATCGGTAGGCTTTTTAGTGTATCCATCTTGACAGACAATACATTTAGGACCAGTCTCTTCTTATAACTAGACATTTTCGATCTGCTTAATAAACTTGTTGGCATTTTTCTTATTTTGCATCTACCTCATAATTTCCTCCTTCTTTCTCTAGGCTAGCTTCTTCTTTTCCTCGTTTTGACTATTAATAATTCCTTGCAAATAGTCTTTAACTGAAGCATCATTTAGATTGTTCTTATTTGTTAGACTTTCAATTATGTCCTAAGCCAATAAAATGTAGACCTTTTCTCTGTGTTTAGCTTGAGTTAGAGAATAGATAAGATCTAAAACCTTGCAGTTCTGTAGAAGTTTCTATGACTAAGGATGATTCTTGACTAGTGCATTTAATAGTTTCATGCCGTATTAATTTCCAAGTTTAAACTGATTCAGAGCATTTTCATCTGAGGTGTTTACAAGTGATTTTTCAGCAAGGAATTTAAGAAGATTAGGAATCAATTACTCACATTAAAGTACTGAATCCTTGATAAAGTTCTTTTAAACTGTAGTATTTTCAAGTATCTCAATAACTCTTTCAAGATTGAATTGCATCTCTAGCTTTTCTTTGTTCAGAAGGCCTGCCTTGTCCAAGTCAGAAATCTTTTAAATTGATTCCTCTAAGAAATCAATGATTATTTAAATTGCAGATGTATCTTCAGCTTTGATAAGGAAAGGTAGAATTTTAGAGACAGCTCTAATCTTCTTGGATGTTTTGTCGATTGGAATTAGATTGGCAGTCATTTCATTGCAAGCATCAGACATTATCTGAATGAATATCTCAACATGGATTGCAGCCTCTTAGTTCTCATTTTAGCTATCAATGTCCATTCTTTCAATCAAACTACTTTACTGCTCATCATCTTAATTAACCTCTGATACGATGCATTCTAAAATGGCAAGAATATTGTCGAATAAGGTCTGACCCTTCTGACCCTCGATCTAGATTTACATTCCCACAGATTCAAACAGTCTCTTAGCAATTAATCCAATAGTCTGTCTGTTATGAACAAAAGCTTTTCTGTTGACTTTAATTTTGACAATATAGGAGATTAAGTTGAAAAGCCATTCAGCCAGATATCTCTACTTTTAGAGTTGTTGAATACTAGACAAGACATCTATTAGCACACAAATACCATTGATTTGCTAATTCTGATTTCTCTTGCTGTCAAACTATTTTGTGAATACTTGAGTTATTCCATATTTCTTTTCAATTTAAGCTGGGTTAGTTTCTAATTCACTTTCATCAACAAGGTTTTCAACTCTATCTTCAGTAGCCTCTCCATCTATTCCCATCAATCTAAAGATAACACTCATTGGTGCCAAGCTAGTCTTAGGAGCTTCTTCTATATTTGGAACTTCGTAACTGTCTGGATCCCTTTACTTGCATAATGCTGGCCAGTGAATCTGCTCATAGACTTGCTTAATGGTTAAGTTAAGGCCTACAATCTTTCCAGCAACTAGCAATTCTAGCAGGTCAGGTTCAGCCATTTCCATTTCTTTGCAAATCTTATTTCTGACATCTTCCATAGTCTTTCCAAGATATGTGCTAGTATATGGATTCTTACTCATCTTACCTCTGAAATAGAACTCTTGAGTGGGAGCCTTGTGAAGGTTTAGGTGATACTCAGGTTCAGGCTTGACTGGATTTATAACTTTGCATATTTCTTCAAGTAGGAATCTGATTTCCTACATGTCACACGAACCATCTTCTATGATTTTCATACACTCAAGAATGAATTTTTCTTTATCTTCATCTTTTTCTGAGTGAAGCTCCTTAAACATCTTTTCAAGTTCAATTTCACTATCTGAGATAAGCTTATTCTTGACAAGGTTGAGTTTTCTGATTTTAAGGAAACTCTTGATAATCAGACTCACGTTCGTCTGGATTTTACTCTTAAGGAATAGTGAATCCTTAATAATTGATGCCAATTATGAAACTAATTTAGCTAATAATTGACCTGTTTAAATTTATGGCATGTATCCATCTTCTCCGAGTTGCACTCTCTAAATTTCTTGGAATTGCAAATTCTCTAGTTCATTGTTTACAAGTTCAAATAGCTTTTCAAAAGCTTAGAAATATACTGGATACTATGTAACTTTTTCCTCATTTATAGGTTCCTTCAGTAAGTTATTTAGTATCTCAAAGTATTGATCAGTAGAATTAGAGGATTGAGTAAAAAGTTCATCAATTTTATCCAGAATTTGAGTCAACAAAGTGTGTTTGCAATCTTTGTTTAGTTCAATGTATAATAGGATAATATCTCTGGAGATCTCTCTCACTTGATTTGAAGTAGGCATTATCAAGCCATCTAGCACTGGATTCAAGTAAGAATCTTGAACATTAGATGTAATCATATTTAGTTTTTATGGTTCTTTTGAGTTCTTCTTTTCTTAGAAGAAGCTTAGGAGCTTCTTCATCAGACTTGCAGTTATTTGACTTGCTATTGAAGCATTTTCCTTAGATTCTTATATTGAATTAATGAGGATCTCCCAGTATTTAACATAGAGTTCTTCTAGGTAATTGTCCTTTGCAGCTAAATTCAATGTTTCCTGAGTCTTAATCATTTCAAGCACTAAATCTGAATAGAATTTAAGAGTCTATTAAAGTAGATGGGCTGGTACATTTTCGTTCTTAATCTTCACATCTTTATTGATCCTGCTGAATATATTCATGCATCTCTCTTAATCATTCTATATTAAAGAACAGATAGCCTTCTTAGCTGGCTCTTGTAAGGATTATTTGTGCATACTTAAGTTATTCTCATAAAGCATGTCTACAAAACCTTAATCAAGATATTGTATTCTTAGACTATCGGAAGTGTATTTTATGAAATTAAGTTAAGATCTTAGCTATTCTTAGATGCAAGAGAAACATTAAGATTAACTTGAGCTTTATTATGAACTTAAGGATTATAATCTGCTATCAGAGGATTCTTCCTCAGTTGAAGAAGATGATTACAGTTAATACTTATCTATTTCGCTTCTAAGTATTTTGATGCTATTCAAACTTCTCATCATTTTCTAGTAAGTTGCTGTGCATTCATCATTGTAAATCTCTATCAAGTTTTTCAAATTTTTACCTTCATAGCCATCATTAACCATTTGAATTTCCGAAGCAAACTGATTTCTCATTTTCATTAATTGCTAGTAACTCGACTAAGCTGATTGCAGGTTCTAATCAATTTATTATGTGGCAATATTTTTCATATCATCATTTTCTATTTTCTCGCAAGCAAATCCAGGCTTTGCTGTGAATGAGAATTCAAACTTAATGAATCTAGAATTCCCGCATTCATTACACAAAAACCCGTCAGGCTTCTCATAATTAATATTTCTGCAGTAAGTGCACTATAATGCATTTTCGCCACAAGAATTACAGATTCCATGTCTCCCTTAAACAGGCTTGCCACATCTTGGACAATTCATATTCTCCTTTTCAAATGGGTTGCTCTAAATGACATCAAGCTGCTTTGAATTTGAAGAAATATGATAGCCAATCTTTTGAGTAATATCCTTTGATAGAGTTTATAATACTGTATCTAAACCAGTAACATTTCCTTTTTCTTGATTTTGTTGGTTTTAACTTGCTGCATGACCTGGCTTCTCTTTTCCAGTAATAGGTTTTGACAAAGCACATGTTTGGAATTCAAATAGTATGTTAGTTGCATTAATTGGAAGAGGGAAGTCTATATCAATTACTCTCTATGCTACTTCAACCTCTACGGATTTAACCAACCGCCAGCAACTCCAATTATTTCTCATGTCAGCGAGATCAATGCCTTACTTGTTATTAATATGAATATTTAGAGTTTTGATCACCCTAGCACCTCTGATATCACTGATATTCATTTGAATTTGCTTGATGTTATAAGTTGTATTAAGTTTGTAAATAAGTGTAGAGTCTGTACATTTATGCTCAGTTTTCATTTCATTCATTCTGTAAGCATTATAAGGCGAAGCTCTTTGTTCATAGCATTTGCTACAAGCCTCACTCTCAAGCATATAAGGATTGGTAATTTTACTATTTTTGTCTCCTTTAGCTAATACAGTTAATCCAGCGTTAGCCCCCCCTCCAAAAAGACTTTTACCTGAATCTTTTAATTATTCAATTATTGTCTCATTCTTAGCTGAAGCTGATGAGCTTAATTTTTATAGAGTTGAATAAATGACTAAGTTTGGATGAGAAGTAAGTTAAAGATTATTAAATTTGATTTCTCGTTTCATTCCAGCTACTATTTCTTAAGCATCTTAGTTACTTATCTTTTCCATCTGAATTTCTCTATTTATGACATACTGTAAAACTGCAAGATATTCTTAAGCATTAACTCCAAATGATTTCAAAACAGGTAACTAATCAAGCAGAAGTTTTACAATCTTGCCATTTTCACTCTCATAAATTCCTTTAATTATGATAGCAGCTAGCTGTCTTAGTTAATTTTAATTTCTACCCAATAATAAACTATTTATGAATTTATTTAGATCGAGATTTGAGGTATCAATATTATCAATAGCATATTTCTTTCCAAGTTAATTAGGTTACAGTACTTAATACAAATCGCATGAGAAGTTAGGTGTATAAGTCTTGCCGATTGAAAAAGGTAGGTCTTCTGAATTTTCAAAGGACAAGCAACATAGTGCAAGACACAGTGAAGCGCTATCTTCGTTTAAAGCGTATGAAGATTCAATTAGCATTTTAAGAATATCTCTTGATTGTTTCTAGTTCTCAGAAACTATTTTGTTCCAGAACTTAGGAGACCATTTAGCAGCATTCCAAATATTCTAGAGTATACTGTGAATTTAGAATAGGGCATTGAACTAAATAACTCCTTTCTTTTTAATGTATCGAGTGTATATGGGTTCATATTGATCATAGAACTCTTAAAATGATGATTCAAGATTTAGCTGCTGTATGAGCATTGTCTCTTGAAGATCTGTTTTTTCCTTTGAGTCTTCATTCATTAAAGAGTCTTCAGCAGATAAAGGAATCTGTGCCTATAAAACGGCAGCCTCACCAAGTTTCTTTAAGAATTCATTTGCAGGCTTGGAGAAACAGAGTCCAACAATAGACTGGCTTATTTTTTCTTTCACTTAGTTAGTTTATTGAAGCTTTGAAATCAGATTTAAATAGAAAATAAGAACCTAGGCAGGAATTTTCCTATCTAAAACTTCAAAGAGATAGTCAGTTTATAAGAATATAGGATGCCATTTCCATTGTTTTATTTCTCTGATTGGTCTGAGTAATCTAGCACCAGTACCGCCAATATTTTCATTTTGAAGATTTTCTTTCACATCCTATGCGAAGCCGGATTAGACCTCAACCACATAAGAACATTGGCCACTTTTAAATCCTCTTTCATAGGATCTCATGATTCCAATTACAAAATCTGAGAGCATTGATTAAGCTTCTTAGTGCTCTTGTATGAAATTGATGACAGTATGTGCTGTCCTATCCATTAAACTAATTTTTTGTGCCCTAGATTTGAGTCTATTTAAACCCTAAGACTATGGCATCATAAGTAAATTAACAAAAGCGAGATTTGTGTATAAGTATGAAGCTGAGTCAAGACTTTATTTGTTATATAAATCCTGGTTAGCATTAACTTATCCAAATGACTTAATGATGAACTCAGAAATAGGTTTAGCAATAAATTCTAGTAAATATTCATTTAAAGGATTATTAGAGACTAGATTTGCATACCTAGATTCATAGAGCTTAATTACTTTATAGGCAAGAGAATATTGAAGATCTGCTTAGTCTTTAAGTATTGTCACTAGACTTAACAAGAACTATATAAAGTGAGGACTAGCATCATTAATCATTAGTGGCCTCTTGATATTTTGATTATTGTCTTTAATTATTATTAGTGGAAGTTATTGAAGCTGAATAGATTTATGGACTGTTTAAGAGTATTAGTTTAGAATTTTGATTATTGATGAGGTTGTTGTTTTTTGAATGATTTCATCTTGATGCATTAGCATTGGCTCTAGAATATAGAAGAATTTTTCCAATTCTTTTCTTTGATATATTTCTGTATAGCAGGCTCTTAAGTTTTTATCTTATTATTCGAATCCTTAGTTTACCAAGAAGTAGTAGTTAGCGAATATCAAGCTGGAAAGATTCTAGATATCCTTTAAAGTATGTGAGTCTGATGACTTGTAACTTTCAAAATAAGATCTGACTAGTTATTAAATTAAATTAGGGTCTTATTCAATAGCCATGAATAGCTTATAATTACGCTTCGAATATATTTTGTTAAGCTTATCTAAGAAAAATCTTATCTCAACTTGGGTTAATTACTCTCTGTGAACTGCATTAGAATTTAATCTACTCAAAATGACTTCAATGATAATTTCGTCCTTGATCTAATAGAATCCTGGATTCTTCTAGTTTGATTTCGGCTGTGGGTTCTAGTTTTCTAAAAGTTTTATGAGGCATCTCTAGACTGCTTTTGAAAAGTAAGATTACTTGCCTTTGTCGTTATAAAGTTACTCTTTCATCAAGATTCGTAGTCTTTCAATTAGATTTTAAGCAATAACTTGGTCGTTTTAAGTTAATACATCAATTTGTTGAGAAATTAGGTCTAGTGAAAGTATCAAATTTCTTTACTTCTCATCCACTTCACCAAGTAATTTTTGCTTTTCTTTCCATGATAGAATGGGATTGCCAGAGGACTTTAGCATCTCATTTTTTAATTAAGTATCAAGGGTAATATTTTAGTCTTTTGAGGAAAATTGATTATTTTTATCTTAAGTTAGCCTCTCCAGTCTTTTAATTTTATCCTTAAATCCAAATTCTTTCTTTGATTGAGCGAAGAATTCAATACAATATATTCTAATGGGAACTCTTGCAACATCCTCAGTAATGAATTCGCATTCAATAACGTTAGTTGCTCCAAAAATGACTTCTGCATCACAAAACGGAATATCAAAAAAGAACAAACTAGATTTAGCTCTTAACTTGATCTGTCTGTGGAACAGCCTGAAACCTACATCTTGTGATAATTTAGGTTGCTACTCTATTCTTACTCTAATTCCAGTTAGAACATGATCAGTTTAAATATCGAGTTTAATGTTCATCTTCATAGACTTCTTTGAACTTTCAGCAATGCAAGGCTGATTTGAATTCTTAGAAAGTGCCTCGATTGTGGCTTTAGATGTTTTTAGATGAGTGACTATATCACTTGAAAGTGAAAGTTTAGATTTGAGGTTAGAGTCGGTATAAACGTTCTTCATTTTCTCAAAGAAATTAACTGGCATTTTAACTTCTTTTGGCAAATCAGACTTCTTTATGAGTTATTGTTGCATGAAGAACTTGCTAATTGATTCGCCCTAAGTCTCTTATTTATTAACAAGAACGCAAAGAGGGTTTACTGAGAACGCCACTGAAGAACCATCACTTTAAATGCTTATCAATCTATGAATGCTTTGATAGTTTTTGTTGCTACATTTTGAGTAAGTTAATCCAAAGCAAGGAACTAAGGTACTAGTGGAAGTTGTTTTCAAAAAGTTAATGTTTACCAGATCATTACTTATTTCTAATAGAACAGGGATTCCACTATTGAGATTATTGAGTTTCCTAGATATGGCTTAGATGTAATACTTAGAGGAGATTTGACTGCTCTCATTAGGCAAGCATTCCACATCTTTAAAGCATACTAGATTATCTCCATATTTTTATTAAAGAGTCTTTGTGTTCCCAGTATAGTTAGTGGAATCTTCATTGAAATTAATGTAGAATCCATTAAATGTTCCTTATTCAAAGTTAGGCTTGCCTATTATGGTGACTCCTTGAGTCATGCTAATTATCAGCACATCAGCAAGCTTACTAAAGTAAACTGACACGCAATTCATTGATTCTGTTACTTTAAGTGAGGAGTCGAAGCTTAAAACTCTTGTTAAAATTACTTCTGAATTAGCTCCTTGATCTTGAGATTAATCTCTCATGACTTCATCATCAATTTTAAGATTTTGCAAAGACTGAATCTTGTATGTAAATTCATGGAAGTAGACTTGGGCATTTAAAGAGGTGATAAATACAGTGCATTTAACTTTACCAACGATATCAGTCTAAGTCATTTTTCCAAAAGCAAAGTCAGTGATGAAGCCATTAAATAACTAGAAATTATAAATAGGGCAAATATTATCCTCTGCTAAATCATAGACTTTAACGAAATCTCTAGTTGCAACTGCAATCATAGTTTATGAACCAGGTAGCCAGTGGATATTTTTAATAGTTAATTCTCTGGAAATCATTTAGAGCATTAAGTCTACTGAAAGTTTAGAAATTACTTTTCCTTGCTTTGAAAGAGTAAGAACTTCAACGCTTTGAGTGCCAGCTACAGCTAAGTATTATGGATAGGCAGGGTTGAATTTCAAGTGTAAAACATTGAATCCCAATTGATTGTAAGTCTCAACTTTGCTTACTTCTTATCCTTCTTTGACTTCATAAGTGAACTGATCACTTGCTTATTATCTGCAGTTCTCCTCAAAGAATTATGAACTAGGATAAAAAGCTAGTTCGCTCTCCTTTTCACAGATAGCAACAAGACCATCTTGATTAGAATCGACAACGTGAAGTAAATTTAAGTCGATGTTAATTGTTTGCTTAGAGGTTTCTGTGAGTTTTATATTGAATGTGTTGTCTTTATGAGATTTTTTATTTGTGCACATATCCTAGATAACTTTAGTAGAGCTCTTAGTTTGAACCAGAGTTTAGTTTCTTGATTCTAATTTCCTTGGAGAAGAGAAGGAACTCATAATTTCATCAGAATCTCTTGAATCACTTTCAATAAAGTTATTAATTTGCTCATCCAGTTGACCAATAAGTTAAGTGTAAATTTCCAAGAAATATTGCCTTTATTGTTTGACTGCATTTCTTGCGTCCTCATATAAAGTTGAGTCTTCCATTTCATCATCTTTTTGCTTCGATGCACTCGACTAAGAAGAATGAGAGAGTGACTCACCAAGCTGAAATTGCTGAGTGTGAATTGGAGTTGAGCCTGCATCTGAGAGTGGGTCCTCAAGAGGTAGGATATTGGTCATTTGTGATAATGATGAAGATGATTATCTTCGAGGTGGTCTATTTGGCTCATCTCTATTCAAGTTTAATCCAGAGCCTCCTACTCCTGAAAAAGGGTTTTTGCTAAACATTGGAGGTGGCTGAGAATACTTTGCATCTTTTTTGAGTATTTGCATGAGCTTCGAAACATCTTTCAACTATCTAATGCCTGTTAAATGGCCGATGTCTATATTGTCGTCATTTTCATCCCTTTACTCCTCATCTGAACTCTCGCTATCAAGATATCTACCTTCTATTCTTCTTATTTCATTTTTCAATCCAATCTTTTAAAGGATAAAGTCAGTTGAATTTTAAGGTCGATCAAGGATGGAATTTTTGAATTATTCTAAAAAGTGGTATTAATTTCCCTCTTCATCCTCTTCTTCCCCATCCAATTGATACTAAGGACTATAGCTACTAAATCCAAAAGCAGCTGCTCCAGTGTTGTTAGGTATAAATCTTGCTAATCCTGAAGGCATCTAAAGACCCTCAAATGCACTGTCAACTTCAGGTGGGTTTCCAAACAAACTAGACCTTTCCTGCGGTCTCTCTTTACTTTTTGGAATAAATGGCTTGGCATTTGCATTCAAACTTCCCCTATATAGATTAAATGTACAATGATACTTACTCTTTTGGCTTTGCAGCCTGAGCACTTGGCTTAAGACTAATACACTTTCCTGATTCAGCACAATCGCAGAAGAAGTTGCTTTTTCTCGAATAAGTAACCTAATGACCTTTGTGACATTTCCTGACGCAAACTGCACATATTCCATTGCTCTCTGTCAAGTCGCAAGTGTAGCAGAAATACCAATGCTGATTTTTAAAATCCTTCTTAGTTTAAGTATAAGTACAAATATCCTCTGGCTTCTCCATATATTTCTCATAGCATTTACTATCTTCCATAATTAGTTATGACTACTTGTAACCTTCTACATTGTTTTCTTGAGATTTTTTGGCATCCTTTCTAGATGCTTCAACCATGCTGGTTATATTAGCTAAGGCCTCTTCTTCATTTTATAACTACTAAGATTAGATAACTTTTTTCTTCTTTTACTCTTCCATCTTTTTAAGTTGTTCTTTAAGTCTTGTTTCTTAAATTTACTCCTAGCTATAAACAATTTTATCTTGTGAAACTTTTGAGAACTGAGCTAGTCCAAGTTAAGTCATGAAATCAAGAATTTATACTTTAGAGGTTATAGATTAGCATAGATTTTTATTCAATATATGAGTTTAGATACAGCTGATTATTTAAGTATTGTTGTCAGATATTAATAAGATTAGCTCTAATATTAGAGTAAGGAACTGCTATTCGTCTTGATTGCTGGCTTTTTATTCAATAAAATTGATGAGCAACTGCTGAATTCTAGTAGAAAGTATTTACTTCGATTATTAATCATTATTCAACGAGATCAAACTATGCAGAATGTTCTTTAGAAGTGGGATTTGCTTTAATTTATAAAGCTAACCGATCAAGTTATCTTCATTTAAACCTGTAGCATTTAAGAATTCCATCCTTATAATCTGAGAAAGAGATTTTTCCTCCTCAGTAGCCTCTTAAGATTTATCGTAGTCCATTAAATCATTTAAGAAGTAAAGCATCTTTTAAGCAACAACATTGATCTTCGGCTCTTTTCCTGCTTTTGGTTTTGCTTGGTCCTCACTTTCAACTTACTTCATCTCCTCATCCTTTACTTATTGGCTCTGTGAAGTTGGTTTTGATGTTTAATGTTTTCTAGTACCTCTGCCTCTCGAAGGTGTTTACTTGCTACTATTACTTCCTTGACTAAAGTTAATTGTCAATTAAACCCCACCTTTCTTTTCACTGATGTCTCCTTCTATCATTTCTAATTAAGAATCATCTTGTAAGGATAACTGGGCTTGCATGCTAAAACTCTATTTCAGAAACTGTGTAGCTATCTACCACATCAAGCCTGGAATATCTCTTCCATTTTACTTAAGCTGGAATATGAGCTTCATATACTAATGCTCAGACTCATTCTTGGTCGTAAGATAATTTATCAAAAGTTGTTTGTCTGCTTTCTACTAGAATTATGCCGTACTAAGAACACCTGAGAGTTCATTTTAAATTTGCTGTAAAAGTTATAAAAGTTGAACTGAGGACTCTGCTTAGGCTAATTGCTTAAAGTGGATATAATCATAAATCATCATTAATGAGTTTAGACTCCTGTCCAGATTTACTAGTTTGACTAGCTCATTAGATTTTAGTTGAGAAGCGTGCAATTCATTAATGAGCTTTATTAAAAATTCTAAGTCAACTGTGGTGGATAGCTCTGACATTGATAATTGAGGGTATATTCTTGATTGCTATAAAATAGCTGTAGAAATTGCATTCCTCATTTAAGCATGCTCTTCACCCTTGACCTCTCTAACAATAGTTTCTAGAGTTCTGAAAAGAGCTTTGAGAAGTAAAAGAGAAGAAAGATATTATTGATGTTGATCATTGCTATGCAGAAGTGTATGAGCATAGAGTATTTCTCCAGATTCACTGGACACTATTGTCTAAATATTCTTCATCATTTGCTATGGATCAGTAATCATCTGCATGAATTTTTTCTCTTCGGGCAACATTTATGGTAGTTTATCGAAAATCTTAACTCTTACTGAATTACTGCCATAATTAACTAGACTATTGAGTAAAGATCCAAATTCTTGATTTTTGGCATTAGGTTCGTATGTATCTTAAAGAATATGTAGTTATATTTTATTTGAAATGGCAGTTTGGTCACTAAGTTTTTCTATTATTAATTTGATGGTCAAGAAGTCTTCCTCTGTTAGAGCTTGCTGATCTTTCAATTTTTTCTATATTTGATCATGATACTTATTGACACTTAGATTTAGCAGAGCATTTGCTTGAGAATCTCTAAAATCACTCTAATGATTTTCAAGCAGTTCCTTCAATGTAATGTTACGCTAATTCTTTTCAAATAGAGTGGAGAATTTCAAGACTTTGTAGGCAACTTATTTAATCTTATCAGGCTTTGAGCTTGATTTAAGAAACTCTTTCAGCTTTAAGACAAAATAATTCTGATTGAGATATACTACGTTTTGAGCAATTAGATCTTCGTTGAATATACTCTCGTTTTGGGGATCAACTAAACTATTGAAATTCTCAATTAAACGATAGAGCATTTTTTGAACTTCTATAATTTCGTTATTTGTAATAAGTTTTGCAATGTACTATTGAACGCATTTCTTCAAAAGTGCCATGTGGACTGGATCTATTAGCATCAATTAAAGCTAATGAATGCTTAATAATAAACTTGCTTGATTACTTTCGATATTTATGAAGATCTAATCAAGTAATTATTATCTCTTTTTTTAATCTCCTTCAATGTTAAGGATTGAGAGGATGAATATGATGTATTTGTTTAAATTGGTACCTTCATATATCTCATGAACATTCTGGGGTGCTTATCCTTTGATATCCCATAACTTTTAATTAGTGATAAATTTCTTGCTTAAATCGAATGAAAGTTCTGTGCCTTTTAGCATGATCATTAACTTAGCTGCAAATACAGTTGAAACGTTAGATTCTAAAAATTTCGATAATTTTTTATCTAGTAGTTAAGAAATCATTAATTTAGTATTCTCAGAGAACTTAATAGAGGATTTTGTAAACTCAGATAATATTCCATAAACCAATCTCGTTATAAGTTGATTAGGCTTTTAGGATATCTTAAGTAAATTGTTTATTATTTATCTACTTAATTCAAGTTCCCCTTTTTAGCTTAAAGTGTAGTTGATAAATCTTGAACTGAATAGTACCAGAAGGCTCAAACAACTTTTAAGGGTATCATTTAAATCTACTTTAAAGATTGTTTTTAAATCAATTTGTTGCTTAGTAATGATGGTGTCTTTTTATTTTTCCTCGTTTATATCCTTCATCTCTTCTTCTTTGGTCTCTTCTTTACTTACTTATGATGTCAAATCTTTTTGTGCTGATGTTATTATTTCCTTCTTTATTTGACCTCTTGTTCTTATAGTTGTAGAAGAACTTTAAACTGGTGTAGATGATGCCTACTTGAGTTGAAGTTAGGGCTTTGGTTTTTTCTTTTCTTTGTCAGGCTTAGCTTCCCCTACTATTTCAAGTCTCTAAATAGCTCTCACAAGATTTGTTAGTATGATAATAAATCCTTCTTGCTATTCATGCTCCAATTGATTAAAGAACTGTTAATTTCTCACAAAATTTTGCAGTATACTTTGAATAAAACTTAGTATAGGTGATCTCATCTACCTTGCAAGCTTTACATCAGATTTTATCAGATTAATTAGATATTCAAAGCACTCAGCATTCTTAATAATTGTTTGGAAATTCATTTCTAGATGCTTTGCAATACTTTCATTTTCCTAGCTGATTCCTGCTTAACATAAGAATTCTGCATACTTAGCTATTATTGAGATAGCATTCACTATTTACTCTTCTTTTGCTTTTATAGTTGTTTCAATTTGTGTTGAATCAGTACCTAAGGGTTGAATTTCCATTTCAGAATTTTAGGTTTTGCTTTGATCAATCAAAATTCGTTGGCTTTCAAGTACTTTTTCTATCATTTACTCTGTCAGAACTGGTACGAACTAATACGTTCTGATTTATTTCATTTTAATTTAATTTAGAATTTTAGGAAGGAGGCTTGAGTCAAACTCTAAAAATGTATCTTTTTCTTCAAGTGCCTTCTGAATTACCATTTCTATTGTTTTGCTTAAAAGATCAATTATGTTGAGCTTATGAATGTTGTTTTGAGCTGCTTGGATGAAATCCTCGCTTCCTTCTCCTTATCTTGCTTTTTCCTCTTCTTCATCAACTTGTGACATCTCCTCATCCTTAATTGTGATCATAAGATTGCTTTAAAGATGCTAGTTTAGCATATTGGTCATATTTATGTAATCGACAGGCATGAAATCTAAGCACATTTCAATAGAGTCATTATCATTGACTTCTATATTTCCAGCATTCAATTAAATAATGCTCTGGGCTTGCTCTTCGACCTTTACAGCTTGAGCTTTATTATTTTTCTGAATTCCATAAAGTTGAGGAGCCATCTAAATCATGTATTGATTCAAGAACACAAGTGAGTAAGTGTCGATTCTGAGGTCCTAAGCACGAAGGTATCTGTACTGAGCTTCATCATAAGCAGACTTGGATTCCAAAGTAGACAAGATTTTGAAGATGATTGGAAGAGTTTGGTTAAATTACTTGATATCTGGAGTATCATTTACAGTAATTAACTCTAGGACTCTTTTAACCAAGTTTAGCATTTCAGTGCACAATTTTTAGTGAGTCGAACGTTCTAAAATCATAGTTAAACTGAGATTAGCTTGGATAAATAGATATTTACCTAGGAAATTCTAGCAATAGCTGTATGAGTGAGTGTTTAAGATGGAGTAATAGATAATGGTTAGAATATCTTTCAGTTTCGAAGTCTCGCTTAAATTTTGATCCTCTAAAGTCAATAGGTAAATGATTGTTTATAAGTATGATTAAAGAATATTAACTAGAAAATAGAATGAAAGATAGATACCTTTTAGATCGCTGAACTTAGAAGAGATGCAAACACTTAGCAGTGCTAACTCATCTCTAGTCAGCATTTTCCTTGATCTGAGCTTTATAGCTATCTCTTAGATTGGGGCGAGTTCTACTACTTCTTGAGGCTTAGGTGGAGCCTGAGCGGGGTTAGTATTGCTTGAATCAGAATTCTAATTGCGGGCATCTGTTTTACTTGTCTTTGATTGCTACTACTAACTCGATGATTCCTCGCTAGAGCCTTAATTCTTATCGACTAGTGACTGTTAAATGAGTTGAGACAAATGAGAGAACATACATTGATTGTATTGATAATGGCTACGGAGAGAATCATGTTTGGATCATTGGCGATATCGTCAATCTTTTGCTTACTTAATTCTGAGATTTTATCCATAATGTAAATTTAATATTATAGTAAATCCAGAATAGAGTATTCTTTAAGTAAACAAGCTATCTAACTAAAATTGCACTAATTATTAAATTTAGAAGTTTCGAATTGATTATTTACTTAGTTTCTCCTTTTATCAAATCTATAGTAAAATTTTTAGATGCGGGGTTTTGGGGTTTTGGGGTTTTGGGGTTTTGGGG